AATTATTTATTGATAAATGGTTATTATGGCAATCACCGAAATGTCCAATCAATGGGACATTAATTCTTAATCAATGGGGTATACGAGATAAATTGATTCGACCAGTTTTATTTAAACTACGTGAACAATGGTGTGAATCAGATTATCAATTAACAACCGATGAATTATTAGAAGAAAATAATAAACAAATTATAATGAATTATTTAAATGATCATGATGTTAATTGTAAACCTGAAAAATTTTCAATTCGACCTAAAAAATCACGAAGATAATTTTTTATTGATTTGTTTGTTTTGATGTAGTTGTAATTATTTTATTGAAATGAATTTTTCCGACTGTTATATATGTATATATATGAACTGTGATTACTGATGTCATAACCGAGAGTTTATCCAATTCATTGAGTAAGACTGTATAAATCTGTATACATATAAAATGTTATCCTAGAATAAATCTATGATGATACTAAAAGTCTATTTTTATACCGTAAAGTTCTGTTTTTAGATTATTTTATTGAACGATATACTACTTTGTGTAATGTTATCCTAGTTAGTTAGTAATAAGTTATGTAGAACCTGATCAATATACACCGGCTCAAGTTGTTACATCACATCAACATAATAAAATGAAATTATTAATATAAATATCAAATTAGTGGTTTTATCATTGATTTGAGAAGAATAAATGCTCGGAATAAAAAGTGAAACTCAAGATTTTAGCGGATACAAAAACCTACTGCATATGCATCACTAACACCGATTCTAACCCGTACTACTGAACGTTTCTCAACCGTCGGTTAGGATAATCACACACATACAAATATGGCTCAGTCCAGTAGTCGATAACTTATTCAACAGATGCAGTATTTAGGTCTCATCGCAACTAGTTTCCTTCTAGCCTTCCCCTTCAACATTACTGATTTAAGTAGGCAGCGGTTTAGGGTGTGTGAAACATGTCTCACGTACCTCAGTCAATAAAGATTCCTAACTTAATCAAATGATTTATTTTCTTTATCTTGACTATGACCTCACCATTGCTCACCCCGCTTGTTCTAAGATACGTACATTGACAATGCTTTCATAGCATCTGTGTATACTGTCGGCTATATTTTATGTAACCAACGTCGATATTTGAATCCATCAAATGAATCATACTTCTAAGTTAGTTGTAAAAAGAAACTACCGTCATCAAATAATTCATAGGAATCGGAGAATGAGTCATGTTTATCAGTATGTCTATAGTGAAGAAACATTTTAAACCGTCTGTACTATTGAAATCAAAATTTAGTGCATCACCTCCACTGGGATGTTATGTGTGTTAATCATGTCCAGTTCTATCATACTGTTTACGTTCTTTATTATCAGTGAGCGTTTCATAAGCTGATTGAAAAAAATTAATTAATTAACTGATACAAAAGCGATAAAATAAATACAATAATTTCATTGTGATATTTTATGATGTAGTCTTCTTATGTTGTAAGGAAATCATTGCATTAACTTTAAATTAATAAAACTAAGGTGTTATAAAGTTATTTAAAATTACACTAAGTTACTAGAATCCCGAATAGTAGATTAATGATTAGGTACCTCGCATTATTTATGTGAAGGTATATTGAACAACTCAATAAGAATGTAGACGTTTATTAATGCACAAGTATAACTTAGGATACAATTACAAGTTATGCCATATATTTGCATGAAGTTTGTCAATGTTGTTCAATAACAAGTAAAATCGTTCAAACAAAATAACAGAATCATCGAGTTATAGCGCCGAAAAAATCAATTTTCAATAAAAGATAAGCAATAAATCTAAATGAATTGATTGTATGGTGCAGCCAAATCAGAAGCTGGCAAGTTTACTTGAATATGATAATATGTTTTTAGAACTATAGTAAATTATAAGCCTAGCAACGTTATAACTTCTGTCAAGAATTATTAATTTTAAAAGGCTATAAAGTATTTTGAGTCGAATTGTGTTTGCTCACTAGTAATGTGGTAACATCTGTAACTGTGAAGTTGCATCTTCAGGAACCAAACCCTCTTTAAGACCACCAGTCTCCTCAAGATTACAGGCAAATCTTGCTGGTGAGCGCAAAGTAACATGAGATTTAGTTTAAACAAGGCTTCCTGTCGACTACTTCCAGTTAATGTTAGACATAAACGCGCATCTATAGTTCTGATGTGCTAATCAGTGCATTTGGTGCAATCTATGAGTCTCCTCATTTAATGTCAGCCCTATTTAACTAATTCAATTCGATTTATGTTTTTGTAGAAGGGTTCTGGAAATTGTTGGATCTCATGGTTCAATCATATTTAGGTCTGAGGCAGTTGCTCATCGATGACATTTCTAGATGACTGGACAGTATTGCTGATCAATTTAAGTTAGATATGCAAAATGTTGGAGCCCAGGTCCTGGGTTCAATCATTCGTAAGGTCGAAAACTTGGACTTCTGAGATGTACCATACTTCCTGGTTCTTAGTGGTTGTCTAACTAATATAAGCCTGTGATTGAGATTAGTAATTTAACTTATCAAATTCTACTTAAAATGATATCTATGAGTAGAATTAACTAAAATTCATCTCTCCACCACTAATGTTAGAGATTTCGGACTCTTCACAATAAATCTGTTCATGAGAACTTCATATCCGTTTCTTTTTTCAGTTTAATGTTTATTAATATTTGGGAAAAATAACACAGTTATTAATCCATATTTTGAAATCTATTTGTCTGGCACTTAGTTCGGATGTATTGAAATTTAATAGAAACGATGAAAAAATATTCCTTAGTGTGATGATTTTTCAAGTATTGTCATATCTTGGCTTTATTGTTTCTGCCTGGAGCGTCATAAAATAGTCTTTACTGATATCAAGCTTCCTTCTGTTCAGGATTTATTTAATCTTGAATGATGTGAGTAGGTTTTTCGTTTACTAATATATGTATTTAGGAGGGCCGAATAGTACCGAAAACCCAAACACAAAGCATGGCTCAAAAGTTAATTCACGAATCTGTAGTTAGTGATTTGCATCAGTGTTTAGCCCTGAAAATCTAGCAAAAAACAAGCACCTATATCTCATCTAGTTAACATCTTGTATACATTATTCATTCTCCTTTACACTAAATGATTTAACAAGTACTGAAAATATTTATTTATTTTGGTGCAATTAACTTCTCTGAGTTAAATTGTCTGATTACGAAATTTTAATTGTCTTTTTGGCAATTATCGTTAATACTTATTTCGAAAACGAATTAAGATACTGGTATTATGATTAACTTATTGTCCCATCGACATTGGATTTAAATAATTAATTAATTAGACAATTATTAATAATCATGGCTTTATTCACTGATAAACATTTAGTAAAATATGGAGTTCTCAGCACGGGACATTTCAACAACTTTCCCTTACAAAGTAATTAGTAATTAGCAGTTAGAAGTAAACAGTTTAGTAATTGGCATCCAACTATCGTTCATTCTTTGCTCAACTGATTGCCAGCCACCGCGGTCTCGGATTGTGCTTTCTTATACCATGTGAAGTAATGGCTTGTAAACTTTTCATGAATAGACTATACGATTAACGGACACAGTTGATCTGCTAAAACAAACAAGAAGATGTAACTTGTTTAATATTTTAATTTTAGGACAAAGGTAGTTCAAATATTCAAGCAGGCCGCCGAAGTCCATGTAACCAAGTCCAAAGAGTTTAATTTTACTCATATTATTCTTTTGAGTTACAAGTTTCCACTATTTATTTTTATCTGCATTAAGAGTTATGTAAATAAGAACATTATTTAATCAAAATTTTCAAAAATTGAGTGAGTTAATTTCCTCTTTTATTCATAAAATCAAATCAAATAGTCAAAGAAAAATTATCTAAAATAATTTAATAGTGGATATCAATGAGTAAATCGTCATTGTCGTCTTTCATTCTGGCAAAGTGAAAACGAAATTCGCAATTTTTTTATCGTATACCAGTAGTAAATTTTATGGTATGTATAAAAAACTATGCAAATTGGTAAAAACTGTCATTAAGTAACTAAAAATACTCATGGTAAACACTAGTTTATGCTTACTGATAACTATTTGGTACGCATAATTATGTTATTACTTTGTATTACGCTGCTCGTATAACTATGTCATACTATATATCATTATTGTGTTATTGTTATGCTTATTTGTAGTCAAAAAGAGTAATATTTGGCATTGGTTAAGAAAAAATTCCCATCATTGAACCTTAAGACAACTAAGTAATTCCATGTGCAATTTTATATGCGGTCACTGTTAATCCATTTCACTGATTCCTTATAACAGTATCCATAAGTTTATACAGGTTTTACTCTGTGTTGTTTTGGAAGGCAAGAAAACTGAAGGCGTGTCAGATGCAAATTAGTCGTCAAGTAATTTAAAAACAGTAATAGAGTCACCTGTAGTCCTTCTATCTGACAAGGTAACTAAGTTTAATTCAGCTGGTCGTTCGTCATATTTCAGCTTTGCGAACCCGGAAATCAGCTTATGTGAGGTTTTTTTGTGAATCCTTCAGGCTTCATAGTCTATAAACTTTCAGCAAGGCCACCCCAGAGATGTTCTGAGGCATCAAAATATTTAATAGACCTTTTATCAACTCAGTGTCATGTTCGAAGCGGATTCTATGC